GGGGCACCTGCACGTGGCTCCCCAGGGCAGATAACCTGGCTGGGCCGCAGCCTCTGCATCTCAAGTCACCAAGTGTCACAAAGTGGCTGCCACACCTGTGCTCCTGCTTCCCACCCTGCTGCCGACCCCTGGCGGCAACAGGCCTGCCACCCTCTCCTCATAGGACAGTTTGAACTTCCAGAGAAAACCTCCTCTTCCCAGAAGCCCAGGCTAACAGCATTAACTGCAATGACGACTCCAGGGGGGGTGGGTGGAGCCAAGAGGCTTCCACTGCTGGGTGCAATGTCTGGTAGCCATGAAGAAAATAAAACAGATAACCGAGGTCCTCAGTTCATGTGCTGTGGCGAGCACCCTGCCATGAGCTCACCCTCAGAAGAGGACTCACTGCTCTCACCCAAGATGCCCCACTCTCCCCACTGCTGGGGGCACTGGGTGGGGACAGGGACACAGGAGACACCTCAACTCCTTTCTCCTCCTGGGGAGAACTGAAGCCCCGACGGGCACGAGGCAGTGGAAACACAGCCGCCCACCCAGGGTCCACAGCCAGGCGTGTCCCACGCCAAAGGCTCAGAGCACACCCGGCTTCAGAGATAGTTTATTACTTAACCACACACATCCAGGCGTGGCCACCAGGGGATGACGCTGGCCTAAGGGCAGCCCTCCACTCCTCAGTCAGGAGCTGGGGGGAGGCAGGACGGTGGATGTGTTCTGCTCCAAGCAGGCCCTGCGACCCTCTGACTGGTGTCCCTGAGGACATGGGAAGGATCCTGGGCATGAACACCCTCTCACCAGCAGTGTCTGGCCATCTGCGACCCCCGGAAGGCTGGCCAGAGGCTTCTGATAGCCTATGTGGCACAACCTCATCCCCAAAGTGTGAAACGAGATCTCCTGCTGCTTTCTTCTAGTTCCAAGGAAGTGTGCCCACACTGCACCCCAATCCCGAGAGGACGAGGAGGACAGAAGATGGAGGACAGCCCGTGCTAAGCCACCACTGGTGCCCAGGACACAGGGAGCTTCGTCCAGCCAGGCCAGCACTCCATGGACAGGACGGTGAGCAGCCTCAAGTGTGTGGGAAGTCCAGGGGCTCCTCCCAGGCCTCGCCAGAGAGCAGGATGCTTGATGCCCACGGATGCCACGGTCACGGAGGACAGCACGAAGCCAGGAAATCTGAAAACAGGGCTGAGCAGGGTCTCTCCCTCCCATGGCTGCTCATGAGCACTAAGAAGTGACCACAGTGAGCAGGGTGGGAAGACCTAGGCAACCATGGAAAGCCCCGAAGGGTCAGGCGGGGCACTGCTGGCCAAGAGAAGGGGTGCCCCCCGTCCAGGTCACARCAGCCTACACCTCCCATTTTTCAGTGAAGGGAGAAGTGCACTGTACCGACACCATCCCTCGGCTCACTTTGCACAAAGTAGGAAAAGGAGTGTCCCCCAGGATACCTGCCAGAGGAAGGCCACTGCTGGACACCCACCTGCCAGGCTCAGTCCCAGTAAGGTGGCCCCAGGAGGAGAGCAGAGGGGAGCTGACAGCCGGGGGTGATGGATACAGGGCCGCAAGCCACTGACATGTCCTGCACAGGACCATGTCAGGCACCAGGGCAAAGCAAGAAGGGCCCAGGGAGAAAGACCTCCAAAGCCACTCTCACCCGACAACGGATGCCGGTGACTGAACCCGGGAGGACAAACATGTCCCGATACTGCCAGGCCACGCAAGGACTCTCAGGTGTGTGCCTGAAATCCCCCTCACATGTTTCCACACAACGCACAGCACGTCCAAGTGAGCAGAGGCCCGGGAAGTTCCTCACCCCACACTAGTCAGTCACCAGCTCAGGGCCCTGTAGGACCAAGGCCGTCCTGGGCCCGTGCACCCTCCCACACCTCCAGGGTGCCTCCTGGAGCCGCTCATCAAGCTCTGACAGTGCTCGGCCTTCAGGACCCTCTCCTGCAGCCAGTGAGCGGAGGGGCCTCCCATGTGGAACCCGTTCCCGTGGAAGTGCGTACGGACGCAGGGTGCAGAACACTCCACCCCCTCACAGCCAGGAGAGACCAGCTGTGCTGCCTGCGGGCCTTACCTTCCAGCTGCTGGCCCTGCCCAGGCCAAGACCAGTGGGGTGGACCTTCGGCCCACACTCCACACACAGGAGCCAGGGTAACTGTCAGGACAAATCACTCACATGCCCAGACACTGGAAGCAGACTACGTGACTGGGTTTGAGGGTTTTTTAATTACACGCACTCGTCTTCCACCAATGTGCTCTTTACAAGGCTGAGGGGAACCTCCGAGGGAGGGTCCCTCAAAGCAAGCCCCAGGCCCCTGGTAAGAAATGCACTCTTGATTTGCCAGTGGTGACACAGAGCACCCAGCACAGGCCCAAGCAGCCTTGGTGTCCTAACAGCCTGCCGGAGACTTCCTCGCTTGGTAGAGTCACAACTAACAAAGGAAGTCACGGAGGCTCGCGGCTCAACCCTGCAAAAGGTACTGGGAATGGGACCTCGCCTGGGCAACACTGCAGGCCGCCAGAAGTCCTGGGGTGGGGTGTCTCGAGAAGGGCTCAGGCAGCACGTGGACCCTGCTGCTGCCTGGGAGAGAGCCCAGCTCCTCCATCTGCCTCTTCCCAAGAACAGGACCTCTTGGGGAGCCCAGCTGCCGAGGGGCCTTGCCACAGAGCTGGTTCACCGGCTGCTGGAAGCAGAAGAGCTGCCCAGCATCGGAGCTGGGTACCAGGATGGCTGAAAGGCCAGGCAGGCGTTGGTCTCCGTGCTTGAATGCCACCACCCTGAGCCCTCTCGTCAGGAGGACAAGTTTGTTCTGAGTGCCCAGCAGAAGGGCTCAGAGGGGCCAACGAGGACAAGCAGCTGAGAAGAGGTACCCTGGCATCAGTGACCCTGAGGCGGAGGGGGTGGACACCAGATCCTGAGGCCTTGGCATGTCGTGCTGTCCTCCGGGAGACACCACGTCACCAGATCTCAGGCAGGAGTCTCCAGGCTGGAGGGTCCCCAGGGGTCAGGTGGCTCTGCACAGTGGGAAACAGGAAGGCGCCTGCCTGGAGCTGACTGCGGCACGGTCCTGGTAGTGGTGACCTTGGTTCTCACGTGGAGCGCAGTGGGGCAGTGCAGAGACCTGCGTGCGCAGTGACAATCCCACTTTCCACACCCTGGTCCCGTTTCACTGACTGGAAAACTGATCGGGGAGAAAAGCCTTTCTGTCCAAACTCCCAGCAAGTCAGCAGAGAAAGGAAACTCAACGCAGAGTCCCAAACAGGACCCTGATGCTCCATCAACTCCCCGAGCTCTTCTCTGCACTTACTGTCCCCGTTCACCGTCCCCACAGAGTGCTGCACCTCCTCCTGCCCACCCCCAGGCCCTCCAGTCATGACCACGTCTGCTCCTCGTCCAGTGGGGAGGGGAGGGTGGAGCAGAACAGCTCAGACAAGATGGGTGTGCACGTGCCGGGGAAGTGACTGTGGCCACCCTCCCTAAGGAGGAAGACCTCCAGCCAGCTCCCCCTGGTGGAGGAGATCTCATCTGGTTCATCTGCTCCTGTTTTTTTTTTTGGTTTTTTGGTGTACGTGAGAGAGTGAGGGGAGACGGGGGGGAGACATGCTCAGCATCTCCTTGGGCTGCCGCCACGCCACCTTACAGGAACACGTTCTGCGCTCTGCGTACAGTGTCTGGGGCGGGGCGGGGCGGGGCCCCTGGCGAGAAGGTGCGCATTCTATAAAAAGGCCGCATTTCAAAGTGCATGCTGCTTCTGCTCCTGGTAGCAGGGCCAGGCTGGCCCACAGCAGGCGTGGTGGTCAGGAGGTAAGGGACTGGATATTCTTGAGCATCTCCTCAAAGGCCTGTGGGGACGGTGCATCTGCATTCCGGAAGGTGGCCTGCACCCGGCTGTACAGGCTGAAGGACTTGAGCTCCAGCCAGACAAAGCCGAAGCGGTCCTCGTCGAACAGGACGAAGACGCCAGGGGTGCGCTCGGGGCTGGTGAAGCCGTGGCCGGCAATGAGGCCCGTGCCRTAGAAACTGCGGAGACAGGGAGAGGTCAGGGAGAGGCCGCTCCCAGAGCACAGCACACCTACCCTGAGCGCCCACCCTCACAGCACGCGGCCCAATGCCAGGAACRGCCGCCAGCAGCACTGGAAGAGGGCACCAGGGGCCAAGCGCTCTGGGAACTGGGGAGCACGTGGGCAGAAGCCCAGGATCCTATCTTGGGCCCTCGCCGACTGCCACGTCCACCCACACCCCTGCCGAGACACGGCGCTGGGCAGGGCCCCCTGAGAATTCTGATGCAAAGGACGCATCCACATGAAGCCAGCCAGAAAAGCAGGGTCCTCCACCCTGGGGTGATGAGGCTGTCACACCATCAACTCAGAAACAAGAGGTGCCGCCTGGGACTGACCACCAGACCTGAGGGTCTGAAACACAGCTCTGAGGGCCTGGCTCAGAGACGCATGAGGCACTGGGCTTGATCCTCAGCACCACATGAAAATAAAATAAAGATACTGTGTCCACCTACAACTAAAAAATATTAAAAAAAAAAAAAAAAAAAGGAAAACAGGGCCGCGGTGAAGCTGGGTGGTGGTGGGATGCTTGCGTTTGATCCCTGGCACCACAAAAATAAAGAAATAAAATACGTTATACCTCTGTCCTTCCTTCAAGTACTAATGCTGGACAGGTGAGGGGCTGGCCTGCAATCTCCCAGGGCATGGATGGTGCCAGGGCCTCCACCTCACCCTGGCCATACTGATGAGGCTCCATGGGCCGGGGGAGGAGACACAGAGCCTGTGTCCAGAGGCTTTTTCAGGAGAGAGAAGTGCCCCCACATCTCCCAGGCCAAGGCACTGTGCTCAGAAAGCAGGTGCTGTGGCTATACCTCAGACACAAGACAGCAGGAAGGCACAAGGCCATGCCCCTTGGTGCCCAGGCAGCCCAAGGTTCACACAGACTGGAGGACCACCCTGAACGTCAGCCAGGGATGGGCTAACAGAGGTTCCTGGCCAGCCAGGCAGGGCTCCAGGCTGGCCATGAGGGCTGGTGAGCCATGACATTTTATAGCAAAGCCTTCCCTCTTGTGGGGCACAGAGGCCACCCTGGAACACTCTGCCTCCCACCACAGGACTAGATTCAGCCGCAGGCACACCGGCACCAAGTGAAGCCCAAGTCCTGCACCACGTGCGTCCAGGTGCCAAACCCTCTGGGTGCTTGGCACTGGAAGATGCCCAGCACCATCACTGGCGTGGACTCAGCCAACAGAGGCAAAATAAAGTGCCACGTGAGAGGCCGAGGTGAGGGGACCGTGCCCCCAGGACGCGGAAGCTTCTCCTTCTGCGACCAGAGAACACTCCAGCTCTGCAGTGGGCCCACAGCAGTCGCCTGGCACAGCTGGCCGTGGGTGCTTAGAGCACGCCCACCGTGGTGCAAGACCTGGGCCTCCCATGAAAAGGGAGAGGGGACTCGGGCAGGGACCTTGTCCACCCCCCTGGAAGGCCCTCCAGGCAAGGCCCTCATGTGGGCCCTTCCCAAGCCAGCCACCATCCCTCACTGGAGATGCAGGCTGGCGTCCGTTCACTCTGGTGGCCGCCCACATCTGGCAGAAACATGACAGTGGGCATGGAGGAGGGGAGACTGCGGGGCGACCGTGGGGCACGTCTGACTGTGCTCACTAGGCAGTGGCAGGAGGTGCCCAAGGTGAGCACACAGCAAGCCACGGGACAGGTTCCTTGGGGGAGGGAAGGAGGCCAGCTGCCACCATCTGCCTTTCACCTGGCTCTCTGGAGTCCCCACATCACTGCAGAGGCGCTGGTGGGGCCCCTCTGCTCCTCTCATGTCCAGGAAGCTCGGATGAGGCCCGGGTCCTCCCAGGAGGACAGCACACAGAAGCTTCCTGCTAGCCAAGCTGGAGGCGCCCCTGCCACCCGCCTGCGGAGGCCCAGACAGCCTCCCAGCCCAGGCCTTACCACATCCTGCAGGTCCGCGGGTAGTCCTCATTCCTCGAGCTCACACCCACGGGCAACACGAACGGCTGCCCGGACTGGGCTGGCTGCTCGGCCGCAGCTGCTCCACCTCTGGGGTCCCCACCCTCTTCGGCAGGTGCCCCAGGTGGCCCCCGTGCTGACAGCGGCTCCTGGGGTGGGGCAGGGCCCTCGCCGTCCTGCTGCTGCTGCTGCTGCTCCTGCCGCACCTGTTCACGCACCTCCAGCACGAGGCGCGAGAGCTCGTTGAAGTTGCGGAGGTTCTCGACATCGGGCAGCTGAATGCGGTGCCTCAGGTCGATCTCCACCGTCTGCTGCCCTGCAGGAATGTTGGGGTCGCCCTGCAGGCAAGTGGGCATCAGTCAGCAGGGCTCAGTGGCCCAGGGAAACACCACGCACCTCCAGGCCGAGTCGGCTGCGGCCACAGGAGCAGGCACCAGCACTACCCCTTACTTAGCAGCAACCGCAACAGTGGGGCTTCACCAGGGAGGAGACAGGGAGCAGGAGGGACATGAGGACATGTCCCCTTCGCAGAGAAGCCCTAGGCCTTCCTGGGGCCTGGCTGCTGGTGGCAGGCCTAAGCACAGGTCCTGAGTCTGACCCGAGACCCTGCGGTCCTGTGGCTCCAAACAAAGACCGCAGGGAAGGGTCACTGCCCCCGCAGACGCCTGCCTCGTTTCAGGCCCTGCTCTAGAAGGAGCTTCCTGGGAGCAGAAGGCCACTGCACCTCCTTCCTGGGGTTCAGTAAAGAGGCTGTGTTTCTTCTATGTCAGGGCCATCTGCCAGAAACCAACCAACAAGTGTCAAGTGACAGGTGGGGACAGCATGCACGTGGCCCTGACAACATGCAGCCTGCTGGCAGCCCACTCAGGGCGTGAGCGGCTCCACCTCTTGACCGTAGGCCAGGCAAGCTACAGGCGCTATGTTCCTGCAGAGGGTCCCCACCACAGGTCCCACAGGCTGCACACCTGCTCCTAGGCAGCTGGGGAGCCCCCTACCCAGTTAAATCAGACACCAGCAAGTCCTCAGCCTGCCCAGGGTCTACACGCCAGTGGAGGCAAGGCCATCTTGGGACACCCACACACCCCAGGGACCTCATGAAAAGGCAGGTTCTGGGTCAGCGGGCCCGTGAGGGGACCTGGGAATCAGCACTTCCGTGTTCCCAGGAGGCCCGGGCTGCAGCAGCGTGGCAGCGCTCACCGTGATCTTGGTGCCCCTGGCACAGCGGCCGTGGAAGCTGAGCATGACGATCTCCAGGCCGTGGCTGCCATAGGTGCCCTTGAAGAGGCCGGGCTTGATGAGGTCGTCGGGGCGGCTTGGCGGCAGGTAGATCCGGCGGTAGGTCAGACAGTTGCTGCAGGGGAGCAGGACGGGCGTGGGGGTCAGCTAGCTCCTGGCAGGCGTCCAGGCCTGGGGGACACCGCCTGGCTGACCAGTCGCCCCCCGGCAGGTCAGCTCCCCAGGGCACCAGCACTCCTCCCCAGCAGCACTGCACAGCTTCTGCAGAGGAAGGGAAATGCCACTCCTGCTCTGCCACCCGAGGAAAGGAGCCCACGTCACTGGGCAGGGGACAGCACCCAGGCACTGTGACCACAGGCAAATGAAAGGACAAGAGCCCAGCCTCGAAGCCTGCTGGCCACTGGAGTGCCTGGGGCGGCGGGGGGTGCTTGCGGCAGCGGGGGGTGCTGACAGTGGCGAATCAAGACCCTAGACCCCAAGGTGGGGGTTGGCCAGGACCTCAGGGACCTCAAGGTGGCACAGGCAAGATATGAGCTGAGTCGTCATGTCCCTGTCTACCACGGCCACTTGCCCCACGGAGGGCTGATCGCCATGGCAACTCTCAGTCACGGGTTCCATATTCCAATCAGGCGAAAATCAAGTAACCAAGGGGGAAAAACAGGGCAAGGTGTCCGAGGAGGTCCAAGGGCAGAGGATCCAGGCAGGCGCAGCACTTAAGGGCAAGACTCTGAGGTCTCCGCCGGGAGCCATTCTGGAGGCCCGCGGAGTGCTGCTGTCACTTCCACTAGATAAACGCACTGCCCTTTCTTCTGCAGGTGTTGCTCGATTCTTTGAGACTCAGGAACCGGGACCCAACTGTACCCCCATCCCCCAGCCCCCCACCAGGAGGCCTCACGCACTCGTACTGGCTGGTGTAGATGAACTTCATCAGGATCAGCTCCTGCATGTGCTCGTGGAAGATGTCCTCCAGTGTGCGGCCCCACTCCTCCCTCAGCCACGTCCGGAACTCCTTCCAAGAGAACACAGGCATGACCCCGTGTGGGCAGCTGTGGCTGAGGGCAGTGACCGGGAAGAGCAGGGGCAGCTGTGGGCCTGGGACTCGCCAGCAAGCCCAGCAGTACCCAGGGAGCCTGGTCCTCGGGCTCCTGGGACAGCGGTACAGCAGGACACTGGGCCCTAGCCCCCACCACACAAGTCAGCCTGGCCATTACCGAGTGACACAGGATAGCACAGCGCAGGGGCCGGGACATSTTCTGTCCACGCCTGCAGGTGCCCCGGACCAGGCAGAGCGCATGTCTGTAAGTCCACCACTGCRGCCCGAGTCCCCTGGCGGAGCTCTGGCCCTGCAGCCTCTGCCACTCAGGACACCAAGTCCTTCACTCTGATTCTACACAATTAGCCCAATTGATCCAAATCTCCAAGTTCCTGACTTGGTGTTTCCAACAACTACCTAGAATTAGCCCCAAATGGAGGCAAAAACAGTTCACAGGGAAAAAAAAAAAGAAGAAAAAGGAAAGGAGACAGGTGTGGTGGCAGGTGGCTGCTACCCGCTCTCAGGAAGCTGAGGAAGGAGAGGGTGGCAGCTCCAAGGCCAGCCTGGGACACTTAGCGAGACCCTGTCTCCAATGTGAAAAAGGAAAAGAAACAAGACCAGGGAGAGTGCTCAGTGGTAGAGCACCCTTGGCTTCAGGTCCTAGGGTCACACCCCAAAAATCAACCCAAAAAAAGAGAAAACAAGCTACAGTTCATAGATGGCTTTACTGTGTTACTGTCCAGCAGGAAGCCAGGGCTACTAAGTCGGCCAGCAATTAGCCCATCTTACCTACTAGCAGCAGAGGGCAGGAAGTTACATTTTTAAAAATTCTATTTACAGTCGGGCATGGTAGAGCTCGCCTGTAATCCCACAGCTCGGGAGGCTGAGACAGGAGGATCGAAAGTTCAAAGCCAGCCTCTATAAAGGCAAGGCACTAACCCTGTCTCTAAATAAAATAAAAAATAGGGCTGGGATGTGGCTCAGTGGTTAAGTGCCCCTGAGGTCAATATCTGGTGCCCTCCCCCAATTCTATTCACAACATTCTAAACACACAGACTGTAGATCCACATCACAGAACAGGCGTAGGACCTCCATCCTGACGCCACAGAACCGAACGGAAAGAAGCAGAGATGCGGGGTCACACACCCATCCACGGCCGGGGTTGGGGACGTGGGCCAGAAACACCCTGCGTGTGGCCTTGCTGAGAGCCACAGCCCAGTCAGAATGGCCCCTGGCATTTTGCCAATAGCATTGGTTGAGAGGTGACGCCAGCGAGCCATGAAGATGATGACTTTTGAGTTCTCGCGGAGTTCCCCTTGAGTTCCAGTTGAGCTCTCGCGGGGATTCCTGAAGAGTTCGMGTTGGTTGGTGAAGTTCCGGTGGGGGAGTTCCGGTGTGGGTGTGTGGTGGGTTCCTGAAGGAACCGCCTGGGTGGCGTTGGGGAGAGTTCCCAGGGAGCGTGTGTGGAGTGTGCTGGTGGAGTTCAGAAATAAAGTTTGTTCCTGCTTTGTGCCCAGCCAGACTGCGGCATGGCCTGGGGACTCACACACACCCCTGCACATGGGGGAGGGACAGAAACACCCATCCATGGCAGAGACTAGTCCTACAAGGACTGTGGCTCTTCCYGCTGACCTCCAGGTCCAACGCCCCTCAGATGGCGGCCCGTCAGGCACCAAGCAGAAACCCCCAGAACCCACACACAGCCTCCTGAGCAAGGCGAGGGCAGGAGGCTGAGACACTGGTCACCGCAGAGCCCCAGCCTTGGCTCACAGCACCATGGAACCACACCGCCAGCACAGCCAGGCCGGGCCTCACTTCTCACGGGAGGAGCCCAAGCCCTCCTGGGAGAAGGAAAGTCTGCGGCCAGTGGTGCTCGGCCAACCAGACCACCCCCATGCTGATTCCTGCCTGGGACCACACCCGAGGAGCTGACTCAGGGTGGACCACACCTGACTGCAGCAAGACCTGACAAGGGCTACCGTGGCTGTTTTTAATACAGGGGGCTCTATCACTGAGCTACATCCTGCCCTCTTGGTTCTTTCAGACAGGGTCTCACTCAGTTGCTGAGGCTGGCCTCAAGCTGCAATCCCCTCTTCAGCCTCCCAGGTAGCTGGGATCACAGGCCACCACACCCAGCTCAAGCCTTTGTTTTTTTTTTAAACAAACTATCTGGTCCAAAGGTTTTTAGAACACAGAAAGCAGCCCCCAAAGAAAACCTTTGCAAATTAGACTTCATCAAAATTAAACCTTCTGGGCTGGGCTTGATGGCCCATCTGTAACCCAGCAGCTCAGGCGGCTGAGACAGGAGGATCTCAGGTTCAAATCCAGTGTCAGCAGGTTAGTGAAGCCCTAAGCAACTTATCAAGACTCTGTCTCAAAATCTCAAAGTGAAACATAAAAAGGGGCTGGGTGTGAGGCTTAGTGGTTAAGTTCCCCTGGGTTCAATCCTCAGAACTAAAAAGAGAAAAAAAAAATTAAACTTTCCGTTAAAAATGGCAGCTCAACTTACAGGGAAAGACTAACAACTGAACAGATGAGTAACAGGTAAAATGAAGTAATCCAGTGGGAGAAACAAAGATGCCACACACTGCACCCAGGGTGCTGGAGCCAAGTCCCACCCAGAGGACCAGATGACGGCCCGGTTAGCAGTGGAGAGGCCGTTGCGGGAACACCAACCAGAGCTGACGAGCACACAGCTGAAGGAGGCTCACTGTAAACTAGCTCCACGCTCAGGCGAACGCAGGAGCCTGCAGTGACGTCCAGTCCCCCCAGGGCTGCCCTGGTGGGAGACAGAGGAAGTGCGCCCCTCCTTCCTCCCCTTGTCCCCAGAGGCCTCAGCCTGTGGGAGGGGGCAGAGAGGTGGGGCGACATGCAGACAAGCCATGCACCTGGGGGGATGCCGGCCGCCCTTCTCACAGACACCTGAACTCGGGGCCTGCTCTCCACTCCCTCGTGACAAGGGATGCAGCAGCAGCCTCGACCAGCCCAGCAGCACCAGCAGGGCATGCAGGCCCAGCCCAGCTCTCCGGAGCTACCCTGTCCCCAAGCTGGACGGACACTGGTCCACTGCCAGGCAGAGCCTGCAGAGCAGCTCACAGGAAGGTTCCCAGAGACGCAGTGCATGGCCTTCTGGCGTAAGGTCCCAACCCCTGAGAAGTCTCTTGGAAAATGTCACTTTTCACCTGCGTGACAAATCACACAAAGTCAAATCTAAAATGACAGCACTGTAAATGAAGCAGGCACCTCTGCCATGTTCCATCTTCACCTGCCGTCCACCCAGGAAGAGAAGGACCACACCCACCACTACCACCACCACGGCAGAGGCGCAGGCGCCACTTACCCCAACTCCCCGTGGTTCCCCGGCCAGTGGGGAACGGCCAGGCATTCGGAAATGCTAAGAAATGCTCACCCAACAAAGAACACAAGCTGCAGTGAGCTGCCACGTGAGACAAGCTCAAGTCCTATAAAAACGTCTCCACAGCAGTGTGTCTCCGAGTCTCCAACTGAAACCCCAAGGCAACGCAGGAAACCATGCGCGCTTCCTGCACCGCCACAACCCAAACCACGACCGCAAGGGAGACCAGGGGCCTGGGCACTGCACACCCACAGCAGCCCCTGAGCAAAAGGGGCTCAGCCTCCGCAAAAGATATGAGGGCGTGGGCACTCACCATGGGAGGCTCAAGGGCCCCCCACGCACTTGCCAGCAGCTGCTCTGAAGGAAGATCAGATATGGCCTTGAGCCCGTCACCCGCCTCAAACCTGCAGCCGCCCACATCTGCTCTGCCCATTGGGGCAAGGCCAGGCACGATCCTCAAAAACCAGCGCCAGGCACATGGTCTTCACACACCCTCCCCTCGCGCAGCTCACCTCCTGCCTCCCACCAGACATCCTGTGGTGGTCCGTCTGGTTGCACTTGGTGGAGAACTCGTCCTTCTTCACAATCTTCAGTGTCACAGCGGGGAGCACACACAAGGAACAGTGGGCCGGTCATGACTCCCTCGCCACCAGCACCATGCCCACCTACTGGAGCCCCAGCACGGGAACTGTGGGGCAACAAGGACAAGGCTCCCCACCACGGGACTCCCAGCAGGGCCCCAGCAAGCACAGGGGAGCCCTTCCTCCCCCCSCTCCTCCTCCTCCGTCCGTACAGGAGCGGGTCCACAGCTGTGGTGCGTGGCACACTTGGGGAGACCTACCACACAGGATAGCCCTGGGGATGGTAATGGCCAAAAGAAACCCGTCCCCACGCCACACATGCCCACAGGAGACGGGGGTTCCCACCTACCTGAATGTGGCCGTTGTGGGGTCCTTTGTGGCCATACATGCACTCCACCGTGGCGGACTTCCTCTCCATCAGGTGGACTCTGAACAGAGGCTTGAATCGCATGGGGTCATCCACATGAGGGTCGTGTGGGGGCAGGTACATCCAGCCAATGATGAACAGGCCATCCACCTGCACAAGGAGAGTGTGGTCGCCCTGCGCACCCCGCCCTCCTCTAACCTGCCGCCCCTGATCGGGAGCCAACGGCACAGGCAAAACCAGCATCGTGGCGGGTGAGCAGGAAGCCTGGCCTGGCAGGTCCAGGGCCTGAGGACCTCACAGCTACCCAGTCAGGGCATCAGAGAGCCCAAGGGCTCAGTGAGAGGCTAAAGAGCTGCTGAAATCTGTTTCTTCTTTTCAGGCCAGACCCAGCCAGGGCTGGCAGATGCCACCGCCTCACAGAAGAGAGMGCGCCACGTGGGCAGGTGCCCCACAGGCCTGCAGACTCACCACCACGTTCAGCAGTCCTCCGTATGGCCCGATGTCTGGCTGCCACAATCCCAAAATGTGCCGGTACCGGTGGAGCACTGGAGGGAGAAGAGGCGAGGGCACACTCAGGCCCGGCAACTTCGGGAGGGTGAGCAGCCAGGGCCCCGGCCGGGCACAGACCCCGAGGGAAGGCCTGGGCTCTGGGGCCAGGCCTGCAGGTGCAGCTCTAGAGCGGGGCCATGGGTGGTTTCCGAGCACTGATCCCCTCCCCGAGCGCAGGAAGGGAAGTCAACCAGACTGGCCAGGAGAGCAGGACAACAGCGAGGAGGCACCACCATGGCCCGGAGTGCGGGGACCCAGGCGGCCTCTGGTGGGGCCAGACAACTGGAGGGAGAAGGACCAGGGCCAGCCCGAGGCCATCAGGACACTGCTGAACCGGAGGACAAGACCTGAGTGCCTACGCGGGACTCCCTGCGGGGGACTCCCCTTCAGAACAAGTCCGAGTCTGCTCAGCGCATACAGTGAAGCCAGCACCCTGGTGGCCGGTCACTCCTGGAGGGGTTAGGTATGAACAGGCAGGACAAGCAGGACAAAGAGCCATGAGCACACACCGACCTCCATGAGATGAACGCCCAGGAGCAGGCTCAGTGCACACTGAGGTCTGCAGCCTACGGCGAAACCCACCCAGACCTCGGTCAAACCAGAYGTCGAGGCCACACCTGTGATCCCAGCACTCAGGAGGCCGAGGCAGGAGGATCCAAGTTCAAGACCAGCCTCAGCAACTTAACAAGGCCCTCAGCAACTTAGCCAGACCCTGTCTGAAAATAAAAATCAAAAGAGCTGGGTATGTGGCTCAGTGGCAGAGTGCCCTGGGTTTGTCCCCATTTCCACACACAGAGTCAACAGAGGGATGACAGGGYGGGACAGACAAGATGGGGGTGGCCAGTGACAGGGAAGCGGGACAGAGAGCCTGCTGCAGAACCAGATGGAGATGGGTATTTGCTGTGCAGTCCTGTCAACTGTTCTGCATGCTTCCAAAATTTCATAAAATACTAGGAAAAAAAAACAAAAGCACCACCCAGCAAGACCCTGTCTGTCTCTCCTCCCCTCACCCCCACTCACTGCCATCAGTATCTAGTTCTAAGAACTCAGCCGCTTCCCCCTCAAAGCCCCTGGGCCTCTGATTAAGGGACCTGCCACACACCCTGGCACCTCCAACAGGCAGCAGGAGGTGGCCTGTTCTGCTGAGAAGCAGCATCACAGAGCACAGCATCCCAGACGGCTGGTCAGCTGCACATCCTCGCTGGACTCCTGAGCTCTGCTGGCACGAGGGCAGCTGCTTCAGCTTGAACAACCCCCTCCGTGACCCCTGGAGAACCACCGGTCCCAAGAGAAAGAGGCTAGAAACGGCCTTTCAAAGGAACCTGAACTGCGATCAAGCTCTCCTCGATGGCCACAGTGACCGGACAGACCTGCCCTTTCTTCACCTCTCCGCCTGGACACCTGTCCCTCCAGGTCTAGGGCCAGAAGACAGTGCTGGGGCTTGCCCACCAGCCCAGGACCCCCTAGAGTAGCCCACGCTCATCCACCTGAGGAACACCCCAAGGGTTAACGGGACGAGGGCGCCAAGCTTAGGAAAGAATCACACACTGYGTCACCTGGGGTCAAAAGGTGGAGGAGGTGAACTTCAGAAAAGGCTGCCCTCACACCACTCGTGCCCACCACCCCCAGGGCCTCCAGGCAAGCTGGCTCCCTCCCACAGCTTAGGTGACAGCTCCTCCTGCAGACCCCAGGGCTGGCCTTCCCAGTGGCAGCCACAGAGGTTCTGCCACAGCCTCTTCCACACAAAACCACCTCATCCCGGGGCCCATGTCCCCTGGGGCAGCCCTGAGGGGCTGTGTTCAGAACACTGTCCCCACCTTCACCTGGAGCAGCACTCTGAAAGGCCAAGGGCCAACAGGAAACCCCGGCACCCGTGCTCTGGCCCCTCCCACCAGCCCAACAGGAAGGGCTGACCAGCATGAAACCGCATCTGGGCATGAGGGACAGAAGGATGGGCTGCTGGGAGAAGGTGCCCACAGCAGTCCCCACCCGGGTGCAGCAGGAGACCCGCAATTATGTCCTCAGGTCTCTTTGCAGACTTGAGGTGCCTGGGATGGATGCCTAGAGCTTCTCTCCCGTCCCAAAGGAAAGCACAAATACAGCTAATGGGGTCTCCCACCCACTGCTTCTGCTCTAACAGGACAAAGACGGGAGGAAAATCCCAACAGCCAAGGGGCGCACCCTGTCCCCAGCGCCCTTCCCCCTGAGAAGTATGTTCCTCCTTCCTTGCTCACYCCCCAGCCAGTGCTGGGGGTCCACGTGGTGGGCCAGAGCTCTGCAAGGGCCTCCCACCAGATACCACTGGAAAGTGCCCCGGGGTCTGGAGTGTCCCCCCAGCTCCTTCCCACATGGTCACAGTGCTAAGCCCGAAGTCCTGTGCCTGCATACTGCCACTGAGACCCTGCAGTCAAAAACACTTTGCTGAAACCAGACAAAGTGGCCCGGGCTTATGATCCCAGGGAGGCTGGGGCAGGAGGAGCACAAGTTCAAAGTCAACCTCTGCAACTCAGCAAGACCCTATCTCAAAAAATAAAAAGGAATGGGGATGTGGCTCAGTGGTTCGGCACCCTGGGTTCAATCTCTGATGATAACCAAAAACAAAAGCCTGTATCGACAGGCGGTACAAGGGGGTTCCGGGACTGCGGCTGCCTGTGTCTCTGTCAGCCCAGGAACCCAATGGAGTGCTAGGAGGCCACTTGCTATTTAAATATGTCCAGAGAAATGCCACCAATGCTCACAACAAGGGATTCCCCTTGCTTTTTTCTGGATTTCCAAGTTTCTACAATGTGGTTCTATAACCGCACTCGAAGCTCGGGGGCACGGTGGTTCTCCAATCCCACCAGCCAGTGGTCAAGCTCTCAGCTACAGGCAGCACAGGTGCCCAGAGTGACCTCCTAGAAGCAGGGTTCTGCACTCAAGCTCTTCTTAATCCCCGGTGGAAGGCTTCGGAACACCCAGCTGAAGGACGAGAGCCCAGCCCAGACACGTCAGGCACCTCCTGAGTCCCGGCTGCCCAGGCTCCCTGGGGGGTGGGCTGGAGCTCCACTCTAGCACCACTTGGGCTCCAGACAGACTCCTGTCCCAGAGAGCCAACCAGAGAGGAGCAGAGGACTCCTGGTGCCCGTCCTCGACAGCTCAACACTCACACCAGGCCAGCCGCCAGCAGCAGGGGACCTCTGCTCCCCAGGGCTGGAAGGAATCTGCAGCATGCACCTGGGCAGAGCGCTGCTCAGTCTCTGACCACCTCCCACAGGTGAGGGAGGTCAGCATCCCCACACTGCCTGCTGCTCCTCACACACACGTCTCCCACGTCCCCAGGCCCCTCTGTGCCGTCTGTTGCACCAGGGCCTGGAGGCAGGCTGGGCCTAGGACAGCCCCAGGGATCCCGGCCATGCACTGCAGGCCTGTCCAGAGCTCGAGGGGGTGTTCAGAACAACTCTTTAGACACACTATTCCTTCTGCTCCCAGTGGGTGCTGTCAGCCATGTCTACTCCAGACAGCCAGAGCTGAGACCCGAGCCTCCAACAGCTCGAGTACCTCTGAGCGCTTCTAGAAACTTTCAAATGGCTTTTAGTGCAAGTGATATTTTTAATCTCTTTCTTGATGACTGAAATTCACTCTCCATCTCCACTCAACCACTCTGAGCTAAAAAAAAAAAGTGAAAGGGGCACAAAATTCCTGTAACTACATCTTAAAAAAAWTTCCAGAGCTCTGCAGGAGAGCTTTGCCCTGTGTTTGTCTAGTAAAAGTGCACCTTTTTTTAAAATTCACATTTGCTATTCAAACATACTGAATGATAAAGCTTAGAAGTCAACTCACACTTCATTTTGGAAGGGAAAAGTGTTAAGGCTTTTACACTACCCTCTGGTCTGCCTCTGTGTGAACTTTTGCAGTAGCTCATCAATAAAGGACAGGCACTAAAACGTGCATCTCCAGAGTGTCCTAATTGATACTGCCCCAAATCCCACCCTGGGCGCTGGGTGGCCATCTCATTAGGGTCTGTGCCGTCAGGCTGCGAGCTGGAGGACCTCCGTGCAGCTGCGCTCTCCCTGCAAAGCCAAGCCAGCAGGAGGTACGTACGGCAGGTGTACACGTCTCTGTATCCCATGTGCTCGTAATCGGGGAGGATTCTCATGAAGCGTCCCGACTTCACCCGAGGGTTTATACCTGAACAGACACGGCAGGGAAGGGCTCAGCATGGTCTCGCTTCTCCCTCTTCCTCACCACAGTGACCCTCGTGGACACACAGCCACCCAGCAGGCCGGATAGCGCTAGCTGGAGGACATTCATTGATGTCCCTTTTCATGGGAGCAGAAGACCTCACCAGGCTGCTCACTGCCCCCCGGCCGGAAGTGCATGAAGGCCACAGCTCAGTGGGGCCCTGAGTTGGGAGAGGCTATCTAGGATCCTTGTACACCCAGCTGAGGTATCTGCCCAGGGCAGGTCTGGCCTCCCTTCGTCCCTGTGGTGTGTGTGTCTCTTGACTGAGGACACTTCCCAGCCCCCAGACTCAGATCTGGCACAGCGAGTCCAGGCTGCCAACTCGCTACCTGTTCAGGAACTAAGCCTGATTTTCCTTCAATCCTTTGCTCCCAGAGCCTAACAGTTATCTCCCAGATAAAGCTTCCAAGGAAAATTTGCAAAACACATTTCCTGCATAGGAATATGAAATCCAAAATTTGCTTTGGCCAATGCAGCACAGACACCTTGGTGTACTAGACAACAGGCAGGAAGAACTACTCTCTGCATTTGGCAAACACCTTCAAGAAGCCTGTTGCCCCAACAGCTCGGAATCAGGCAGGAGGATCAAGTTCAAGACCAGCCTCAGCAGCTTAGGGAGACCCTGTCTTAAAACTCTTAAAAAAAATTTTAAAAAAAGGTGGAGTGGTGGTCCCGGGGGTACAGCTCAGTCAGTGGTAGAGGACTCCTGGATTCAATTCTCAGCTCAAAAAAAAAACAACTCAGCAAGAAAAAGAAATTCCACGCCCTCACTGGACCCACCCAGTCACGCCACTCCCAGTGACCTCTCTTGTGTGCCCTCCCTGAGTGCAACAGGACACCTAGAGCCTGGACAGGTGCCAACACCTGTGTCCCTGCTGGGATGTGGCTGCCGGAACTTATTGTTCTTCAAGAGAAACCTCATGGCCTAGCAAACCTGCAGAGGAGTCGGAAGGTGGAAGCCTGTCCTGTGAGACACTGGGGCCAGCCACCCACCCACAGTAAGAAGGGGACACGCTGGCACCATCAGGGAGGTCACGGGTGGGGGGGGGGGCAAGGGCACTGAGCGCTCAGCCAGTGCTGCAGTGACCCTGGAAGGCAGAGGACTAGAGCACAACAGTGGGGTCAGGGGCTCACCTGTCTGGGCACCTGTGGAAGGTGACATGTTCACCCCCCATGGGGCAGAGGCCCCGAACCTTGGGGAACAGCTCGGGAAGCACTAGAATTGCTTCCTGTGCGGCCCACACTGCTCAGACCTCAGGGTTCTCAAAAATGGGCACAGTGTGACCGGACGGGAGGAGTAGCTTCTCCTGCCCTGCAGAACAGCAGGGCTAACTGGCGGGCGACAATTCCAGAAGAGGACTTAAGTGTCAGCCTCACAGGGTGCCAGACAAGCCAGCTGTCCTGATCTGATCCATACATATCACATACATGTACTGAAATGTCACACTGTACCCGATACATACACACAATTATGAGTCCGTTAAAACCTACACAACGTGTGGCTGGTCACCATGGTGCCCACGTGGAGTCCCAGAGACAGAGACTGAGGCAGGAGGAGGGCCAGGTCTGAGCCAGCCTCAGCAACCTAGTGGGGCCCTGCCTCAAAATAAAAATTAAAACRGGCTGGAGCTGTGGCTCAACTGTAGCCCACTCGCCTGGCACGTGCGAGGCACTGGGTTCAATTCTCAGCACCGCACACAAATAAATAAAATAAAAGGTCTATCGACAACTAAAAGAAATATCAAAAAAAAWTTTTTTTAAAGGGCTGGCGATGTGGCTCCATGGTAGAGTACCCCCAGGTTCCCCAGTACTGCAAAAATTAAAACATTACAAAATACACATACACACATGAGCAAAGGTGCAGCTCTGTGGTAAAGAGCTTGCCCAGCATGCAGGTGCCCTGGATCCCCAGCAACACTCGATCAATAAGCACAAAAACTGTTATAGAAATAAAAACACAGGTTCTTGAAGGCTTCAGMCAGCAAACTAAAAGTGAGGTTAATGGCACACTCAAAACGGGGGACCCAGCACCTTGAGCTCAGCAGCGCCAGGCCACCAATGCTGTATCTGAGGACATCGGGCTGCAGGTTGGTTCCTGTCCACATGCGTGAGGCCTGGGTTCCAAACCAGCATCACAAACAAAAATCGCAACATCCAGTGTGACTGAGAGTGGCACCCGAGAAAACGGAAACAGGCCCAAGCTGTCCCCTCCTCCCTCTCAAGCTCACCGCTTCTCAGTTAGGAGGTGACAGCAAAGATCAACTCACGTTTTGCATAGACGTCTCGACAAGACACGCCTGTAATCTCCAGCTTCCGCAAGTTTTCACAAACACCGTATTCTGCAACAAGAAATATTAGCCGAAGTTTAAAATCAGGAAATCACAAAGCAACAGAGACAGCTGCGAGGCAGCGAAGGGAGCAGCAGGCGCGCCTGCGAGCCTCGGCCTGAGGGGTGGTGCTGCACGCTGAGCCACTGCCTGGTCCCCAGGGAGCCATTGTCATCTTAGCATCACCCCAACAGATGATGACATGCAGCGTCYGTGACAGCGCGGCCAGCAGCCTGCTGCACCCGGGCTAAACACTCAGGCTCTGTGAATGCGCTGGAAGAAATGGTGCCTTGTTCCCATGGAAATGAGGCCACCTCTGGTTAGGGCTCGCGCCAGCGCCAGGGGCCAACATAACCCCACCATGGCTTGCATGTCATGCCACAAACTGCTCAATACAGCCATGAGGCTGTCCTCAACTCTGATGAGACGCTGCAAAGGGGCATTGACACCCTACTTCCCTTTGCACCAGGCTGTCCAGGTCCCTGGTCAGTGAAGGGGCCCCTGACACCCTCTGCCCTCCCCCATCCTCGCTCCCTGACTCTGCTGGCAGCACTACCTTCCGYCCTCCAGCCCTACCATCCAGGGCGTCCCAACCAAAATCCAGGCCTCTGGCTCAGCAAGGCTCAAGAGCATGGTGCCCTGAGTGCATCCACGCCCACAGAGAGCCACGTGCAGCCACTGCCACTCCTGTGTGGGTACCATGCCAAGCACTACAGGCATCAGGAACTTAATCCTGCCTGCAGGCCCAGAGTGATGCAACGTCACCTCCATCTTAGTCTTAACCCTGAGAACAGGGGTGGTGACTTCCACAAAGGTCACGAGGCCTTCCTCCTGTGAGCTCCTGGCACAGGAAGGGGCCAGGAAAGTCCACAGGCTTCACACTGGCCACAGCTCACGCTTGGGATCAGAGGTGTGCAGTGTCAAGCCAATGCCCCACAGCATGACCTCTCCAATCCTGACAATGACCTCCAAAGGCAGGACTCTGCCCCCCAGGCAGAAAGAGAAGCTGGCAACTCAGAATGTGGGCATGACGCAGTCCGGGAGCACCCACTGCTGCCCCTCGCCATGTCACTCCTGCCRGTCCTTCCCAGAGGACTGGCCTTTTCTTCTCAGTGGAACAGATGTTATCAGCCCAACACTCGGGCACCAGGTAAACCCTGAGGCTGGCCCAAGTAAAGCCCCAGGCACAGACAGGGCAAGCGGCTCTTTGGAGAGAGGGGTTGCTACCTGGCAAAGCTCTCTTTACATACACATATTTTTTTSTGAAGTTATACATGAACATAATACCTTTATTTATTTTATGTGGTGCTGAGAATGGAACCTAGTGCCTCACAAGTGCTAGGCCAGTGCTCTACCACTGAGCCATAGCCCAACCCACTGGCAAAGCTCTTTGGCAGGGTCCTCAGGCCTCCTGCTGCCCATAGCATGWCCCTGCCTACACAATGGACCCCAGGCCCAGGAGCCGGCAGCTCCATGTGTTCCCTTTGGGGGGAAACCCAGGCAAGGCACACCCTTGATCCAGGTTGCTGAGGTACGGTGGCCAACTCCCTCCCAGAGAGGCCACTCACCACCACACCCAGCAAAATGCCACCGCTGTCCTTTGGAGAAAGACTAGGACCGAGAGAATGCTACTGAAAACTTCCAGGCAGGTCAAGCAACTCCCGACTGCAGTCTAGACCCTACCCCACGCAGAAATAAAGTGCAAGCCACAGAGGCAACTTAATCTTCCAGTACCACATTTTACAAATGAAAGCAAGCAGGTTGGGTGGGGGGCGTGTAGCTCGGTGGCAGAGTACTCACCCAGCACACGCAAGGCCCTCTGCCCCCAGCACCACAAAACAGAACAACAGTAGAACTGTGTTCAGGACACCTTTTATTTAACAAAACAGCTCTATCACTTCAACATGCAGTGGGTGCCGAGCGCCCTTCTTCTTAATCCCAAGCCTGGGAAGCTGGGGTGTGGAAGCACAGACGCTGGGACCAGCCACGTCACTCAAGTGCGGAGAGTCGCGCGTGGCTGTGCTGCGTCCCAGGCAGCACAGCGCTCAACAATCACGCCCGAGGCCGCGTTTCCCATGGCTGCTGAGCTCAGGCCCATTTGCGTTTCCCTTAGAGCACCAAGAACTCCTAATGCCACTCCTTCACCTTCTACAACGCAGGCTGGGGACTTGGCTCAGTGGCAGGGTGCTGGTCAAGCATACACCAGCCCTGGTGCAACCCCAGCAGTACCAAAAACAACCTCTAGTCGTTCTCTGCACTTCTGAAAGGAACGGAGGCAAAGCAAGCAGTTCCCTGAAGCGCCTGCTCCAGGGTATGAGAACAGTTCACACGCGTGTCCTCCCTGCGGCCGCTGGTTTTCCTTACCAGGGTCCAGGGCTCTTGAGAAACCTTCATCAATGAAACCTGAACAGGACTCCAGGCGTGGGGGCTGCTCCAGATGAGGCTGAGGTAAGGTGGCAGCCTCCCTCCCAGGAGCCACGGTGCTGGGCTCCCCCGCAGCCCCCAGAAGTCTTACAGCCAGGCTACGGGGGCTGATCCACAAGTACCCTGAAACTGTGAGGCTCCAACCACCAGCAGGAACATGACTTGAACTCAGACACTTCCAAACAAGGAAGAACTGTCCTTTTAAATAGGATCCACTCGTAACCTTTAGCAATGACTGCACCATTACCACAGGGACCAAGTCCAGGGCCTCCTCCAGCAGCTGGCCACCAACCACTGAATGCTCAAGACAGCACTGTCAGCTGCAGCCTGCTTTGCCGCCTTGGCCTCCTGGGGATGGGGCACCTGACACCTGCCCACTGCCCAGGGTCAAGGACCTGGAAGGCTCTCCTCAATGCTGGAAGAGCTGCCAAGGCCCCCCAAGAGGAGCAGGGACCAGGTTCAAGGGAGTGAGATTCTGCACTCTAGTGCTGCAGAAGGGAGAGAATGGCCAGAGGGACGGCGGGAGGGACAGTCCCTGGCTGCAGGAGCTGCAGAGGGCAGGCAATCCTGCCAAAATGTGGGGCTGCACCCCAGGTACAGGGAGAGACAGTGAGTCTCACCTTCCATCTGCAAGGGGATCGGCTTGGGGCCTCTGTAAGCCCCTGCAACCCTACATCTGGCAATCCTAACTGGGCACCAGGAACACTCACCCACAAATCCTCACGGGAGGAGGAGGGGCGGCCAGCAGGCCTGGGGCCACTGACTCCGAGCCCTACTGGAATCAAGTTTCAGATATGCTGATGCAACACAAGGACACAATCTGTTCTTTCAATTGTTCACTGGAGTCAAGATGTTCCCGTAAAGTCAGCCAAGGAAGGACAGAGGCAGCAATGTGACAGGACCCGGCTCCCGGGACCCAGCCTCCACTGGCATCTCCAAGGGGACCTTCCTCTAGTGCGCAGGTGACTTGCCCCAAGGGATCAGAGTGCACCACCCAGGTCTGAGAAAGCCCCTGAAAATACAGCTGTGCCAAGCGCATGGTCAGGGAGGCAGAGGAGGCCTGGACAGGTCGGGCTGACTCCACGTAGGTCCAGGGGTCCCGGAGGATCTGTCAGTGAGACTACCCTGGACATCTGGAACTCACCAATGCCCAGAGCCCAAGGCCACCACTATGAAGGGTGCCCCAGCAGCTGGGAACATCGAAACGCCTGCCTGCTGGACCAAGGGACAGGCCACACAAGGCAGCAGCCCTTTACCCAGAGCTGACAACCAGACATGACACATGAACCACAGCCAGCCTCTGAGAGACCTGACCACTGGCATGGTCCAGTTAGCTCTGTGAACCAAAGAGAACTTTCTCACCACAGGATGGGGTGCGGCTCGCAGCAGGGTGCTCCCAGCACACCCCATGCTGTGCTCCCCAGCACAGCAGCCACCCCTCCCACCAGCAGATTACCCAATGATCACACCACTGCAATGCCACTTCAGGCCAGACTGACCACATCTAGAATGGTGACAGCCACAGCCCCAATGTCCACCACGGCCCATGAAGGCACCAACGGACCTCACACAGTGGCAGGGCCATCATCAGCTGCCTCGTAACCTTTCCACGCAATGCAGAGATCTTCATGGCACTTACACCACTGCCTGCTCCGGCCCTAAGACCGACGTCTGGAGGCATCGGGCTGGAGCCTGGGACRCCAGAGCTCTGGTTGACTAAGTCACCTTCATTGCTCTCAGAGACCAGGTAGCCAGTGAGAGCTGACCTGAGTAACAGTACTCACTCCTTTCCCCCCATCCCCCATCCCAGGAAAACTCTAAGGAAAGAGAAAACCAGCTACCTGAGAGGTGCCATTCAAACGGGGCAGCAGGTAGCCAAAGCAAAGAGGCAGGTGGGGCATCCGGGGCAGCCAAGCCCAGGTCATCCCGAGTGTGGAGCAGAGGGGAGCCAAAGAAGGTTCTTGAGCAAGGCAACAACCTGCTCCAGGAACTGCACGGACGCAACATCCCAGACCAATACCCACTGCTTAAAGCAAGCCCCTCTAACACCCCACACAGTCCCAAACCGAGAGTCAGGAAACCACTCCGTACACTAGTACCCAGCAACTCCCAATGCCCACCTGGGATGTGACATGGGGCAGAGAGGGTCACAAGCTGGTGTCTAGTGTGCAGATGTCTGGGTGCCTGCATGAGAACCTTCCTGCCTAAAGGACAGCCTCCCCAGGCGTGGGGGGCGCCCACAGACAGCTGAATCAGAGTCTGCACTGTAACAGGACACATTCGACAGGCAGAGGGGCTCTGCCCAGGCAGCACTGGCACACACAGGAGGCTTGGACGGGAGGCTCACACCACCGACCTCTGCTTCCACTGCCCCCCACAGCGCCCTGCTGCAGCAATGAGTCTCCTAACAGCTTCTGAAGTCGTGAGCAAAGTCCATTGCTTCCCCGTGGTCAAGTGTGCTAAAACTACCAGGGTGAAGCCGGGTCCAGGTGCAGATGGCCACAGGCAGCCCTTCCACCCCGGTGAGCGACGCTGGGGAACACAGGACGCATGGCCAGGCAGCCCCTCCTGTCCGCTGCAGAGCATCTGGTGGTCCTGGCTCCCTGGGGTCTTCCTCCCAGTGCCCACCTCCGGTCCAGCCATGGGAAGGCCCTGCAGAGCACCCAAGCAGCCCTCTAGGCACAGCCGCAGTCAGAGACACGGGAGTCAGAAGTCGTCACCCCAGAGGGGCCCAGGGGACAAGACTACCATCACCAAGGTCCCAGGTGGGCCCTGGCACAGAAAGGACATGAGGGGACACTGTGGTTGAATCCGGCTTGTCCTCTGACGTCGTGTTGAAGTGCGACCCCAATAAGGATGTGTGGAGCTGGAGCCTGAAGAGGCAGCCTCACGATGGAGTATGATTCTTTCCCTTTGATTTTTCCCCCCAGTGCTGGGGATCAAACTCACAGTCCTGTGCATGTCAGGCAAGCACTGTACCACTGTGCTGCATCCCCAGCCCTGTGCATGTCAGGCAAGCACTGTACCACTATGCTACATCCCCAGCCCTCTTCACGTGGGGCCAGAGCCAGGGAGGCCAGTGCCCCCCTGCTCTGCGGTGCTCGGGCGCCTCCCTGGATGCCCAGGCCTCCTGYTCGGCCAAGCCAGGCCCTCCTCGATGCCCTCCCTGCTTGGGGTGTTGTAGAGGGAGGAGTCTTGCTTTTAGTCTTGAGTTTCTGCCCCTAAATTATATTTTTTCAGAGAGTGGGAGAAAAACTACAAAGCGGGGCAGAGGTCTCCATGTGCGGCGGCCCCGGGCCTCTGGGGCCCAGGCTGCGTGTGTTTGAATCACAGCCGGTATGGACCCTCCTCATGGACTTAGTTCCAGGCTTGTCCAGCTGTCCTTGTCCTCAGCTTGCCCTGGCCTGTCTTCTGCTGCTGGTGACAGAAGAGCACAGAGTGGGTCTGTTGGTTCYAGGTCGTGTGCTGGTCCAGGGCCCGGCATGGGCCACGTCTGGCAGGGGTCCTCTGAGGTGCACAGGGTGCCACCTGGTTTTGCTGGTGACCCGCTTGAGGGTCCAGAAATCTTCCAAAAGTCTACTTTGAAGCTGGGTGTGGGGGGGCATACMTATAATCCCAGTGGCTGAGGAGGCTGAGACAGGAGGATCCCGCGTTCAAAGCCAGCCAGACTCGGCAACTTAGCAAGGCCCTAAGCAATTTAGCAAGACCCTGTCTCTAAATATAATACAAAAAGGGCTGAGGATGTGGCTCAGTGGTTAGGCACCCCTGAGTTCAATCCCCAGTTCCAAAAAAATCAAATAAAACACAAAGGAATGACAAAGCCAGGGGCTGGGCTGGGGCCCAGTGGGAGAGCCCTTGCCTTGCACATGTGGGGCACTGGATTCAACCCTCAGCACCACAAATAAGTAAAATAAAGGTTCTGTGTCCTACATTTAAAAAAAAGAATGCAAAAACCAGATCCTAAGAGGCCCCCATGTCCCCGTCACAGGCCTAGAACGTGTGGGACGCGAGCAAGAACGCTGAAGCTGCTCAGTGCTCACGGCACCTGGCCTCACAACCAGTCCCCACAAAGGGGTCCTTCCCTGGGTGGGAGGAAGCTGCTCCAGGGGAGCAGACCCCTCCTGYGCTCCAGGAGCCACTGGCAGAGGAGGAGCCACTGGCAGAAGAGGAGCCCTCGGCTGAGGCCTTGTGGKCCCAAGGACATCCCTCCCTCCTGACCCTGGGAAGCCCTCTGCCATCTGCAACTCCCCGACTCTGGAATCATCTCACTGCACCCTTCTCCAGTGTGGGACACCACACCATCAGGAGACCAGCTGAACTCCCGGCTCCCCCTCCTCCATCACTGGGGCCAGCATCCCTCAGTGGAGGCTGACTCACAAGCCCAACCCAAGCAGCCTCTAAAATGGGAGGAAGGTCAGGACAGACATGGGTCTGGAGAGGACACYTGCACTTCTCCATGGCCCCATGATGCCCTTTCCAGCCAGAAAGACACCCAGTCCTCAGATGCATTACGTCACCCCCTTCCCAAGAGCATGAGCAGGAGGAACAGCTGTGCCCAGGCCTTGGCCAGCTGGTCCGCTTACATGAGGTCAGGAACAACCTCCACTTAAGGCCTGCCAGGCAGGTACTTTCTAACTGGTGGTGGGAATGGAACCTGGGCCTCCGCAAGGTAGGAGGCGCTCGACCACGGACACACTCCCAGCTCTGATCTCTTGATTCTGAGACAGCACCTTGATGGGTTGCCCAGGCTGGCCTTGAACTCGGATTCCACCAGCCTTGGCCTGGCCAGCCACTAGGACAGTTCACTGTCTTCATTTTTTTTATTTTTAGTACCAGGAACTTAACTCAGGATGCTGAATCAATAAGCCACATTCCCAACCCTTTTTACATTTTATTTTGAGTTGCTCAGGGGCTCATTAAGTTGCTGAGACTAGCCTTGAACTTTGCATCCACCTGCATCAGCCTCCTGAATTGCTGGGGTTACAGGTGTACACCACCTACCTGGGATAGTTCACCTTCTTAAAGTTAAAAATAAAATAAAAACAGTGAGTCTTACCAAGGTTCCCCTCAGCAAAGGTTCCCCTTTGCCCTCCCTCTCTGCCACGTGAAGGGTGACATCTCTCAGCAAAGCCTCACACAAGAATCAACTGGTGCCAGCTACAACGGTCCTCCTTCTAAGCAGCAGTGTTCGGGAAAAGGGTCACTGGAGTCCTAGGACTCTCCTGTCCCCCAGGACGTGGGCTGGCCTGGCCTTTCTCTGCTGTGTCCTGGGTAGGCTGTTGCACARCTGATGATCCTTCTGCCAGAACCTTGGCTCAACAAGCACCCACTCAACAGAACCATAAGGTCCCTACACCTGGTTCCAAAACCTCCTC